GTCGAGTACTATAAGAAACGCAACTCAGAACTATTCGGTACTCTCAAAAAAAATTTCAAAGATTTCTACTATTTTTTAAAAACTTTATTATTCTTCAAAAATGTTTTTTATGTATCAAGAACTCTAGGTATTTACAAAATACTTTTGTTAAGCTGATCAGAACTATGCGACCTTGAATTTCGTTAAAAAGTTAGCACCCCGGCCATTTTTAAAAAATTATTAAAAAATGATTATTAAGCGCATATGTCATTAAAAATCATAAAGAACTCTTCGTATCGTCAAAAAGAAGCAGAAATTATCATCAGAACTATTGTATCTAAAAATTAATTTTTCAAAAATTTTTAATTTTTTTTTTATTATTTGAAAATTTTTTTTACATATCAGGAACTCTAGGCAATCGCAAATTGAAGCTATTAAGCCGTTCAGAACTATTCCACCTCGAAATTCGATAAAAAGTTAGCACCCCATTTTTAAAAAATGTAAAAAAAATGTTTATTGAGTGGAACTCTTGTTATTAATTATAGGGAACTCTTCGTTTCGTCAAAAGGAAGTGGGAACTCTAATCAGAACTCCTGAGTACTATAGTTGGAGTGCTAACTTAACATACCCAATGCGAGCACTTTTAATGCTAAAAATTATTACAAATTAACTAATATGGATTCAAATAAATAAATTAATTTCTTTTTGATTAATATTAATTTTTTAATTGTTAAATTAAATTTGAAAAAGTTTTCAATATAAAATATTTGTTTCTAACCTTCAAATAGTACACCTCCCTTGAGCATCTACTAGTGAAATACAGGTGCGAAATGGAATTTAATATTTTTAATTATAATTTTCTTTTGAGGATTGAAATAAAAATTTCTTTAAAATATCACACTTTTCTAGGATAAACTTTTCTCAAGAAAAATCCAATGGTGTTACTCAAATTTAATGAAAAAATTAATTTGCAATGAAAAATTCGTTATAAATAAATTACTTTTTCGACAACTGCTAGCAAATTGAAAATTTCGTGATGTGAATTTATAGTAATGTACCATTTGAAGGCTAAAAATAACAATTTTCTTTTCACTAAGTAAATGTTGTGTGGGCAGAAGAGAAAGAAAGAAAGAGAGAGAGAGAAAGAAAGAGAGAGAAGGAGAGAGATAGAAAGAGAGGGAGGAAGAGAGAGAGAGAGAGAGAGAGTAGTAAACTCACCTACAATGGTGATGAGTATGAGGAGACAGAGCACGATAGCTCTCAAGATGATTGGTACATCGAAGAAGACTGGATTTTCCACAGTTGCGTTTGCGGCTTGATCGACGTGAGCCTCCATCACGGTTGAAGTGTATTTTCCGTCTTCAGTATTTGCTATTTATCATCTGATTAAATAATGTATCATAGTCTGTCTTCGTTAGAACGGGTCCAAAGTTTTTTTCATTGTTTTTGATAGACGCAGAGTCAATACCTGGCCGATAAGCGCCGGTTACTCCTCTCATACACTTCCATCTCTGTTTCAGAATTTTTCATAGTCCCCATTTTGCTCAATTTTCTGCTCCGAGACTCCATGGACTTTGAGGTGTAGGTTTTTTTGTGGGATGTCAGTCCTTCCGTATACGTATGTCTGAAACGGCAACACGAAAAAATATTTCGTTAAAACGTTTCATAGAAGATCTTATATTGATGAAAAATATATATACTTACTTTTACTGTTGACAAATGTAATAGTAGACACAAAAATTGTAAAATTCTTATTATTATGAAATTTCATTAACGTTCTAATAATCCATCTCATGAATATTAAATTTTTCTTTCTAAATTTGTTTATGAATTATTTAATTTTTTAAATAATAATTTTTAAGGTTATTAATAATGTAAAAAAAATTCAATCGTCTACTATTACAGTATAATTGCAATATTGAGTTTCGTATTAAATATAAGTTTCAAGAGAATTATACACGCTTCGCGAGAGAATCTGCGAAGTGTCACATTTATGGTAGCCCACGAAACCAATGAAATTGGAACAATCGATCGGCAATTATCAGGATTGTAACGGGCAACTACCACAATCGACTTTGATAATGAATCCACGGGGTTGCGCGAAAAATAGATGCGTTTACAACAAACGCCAGTCGTGAGATTGCCTTAGGAGGTCGTATGCACTCTATTAAATTTTCCAATAGTGTCGGAACGTTTCATTAACTTGAATTCACCGGAACCTACTCGCCATTTGGTTTAAACTGATTGAATTTCCAGACGAATAGCGTTCACGTTTGATAGCAGCGCCAATACACCGTAACGAGCCACTGTTTTTCCGTAGTTCGTTGCGCGATTTTATTATTTCGATGAATTACAAATGATTTAACGGAATGTGAATTTTCGATGAAATTAGACTGAGTTTATCTTATTCCTCTGTTAAAAATTTTACTTTAAAGTTTCACGATTTACATTATGAAAATTTTAATAGTAATTAAAGGCTTGTCGAATTTGTAATAATTTCAGTACTTTAATATGTGGAAAGAACGATTTTGCAGAAGTATCTAAACATTCAGTGAAATACTAAAAATATATTTATTGAACTATCAAAATAATTATATATATAGTATATATATATATACGCTTGTGTTGTTAGAATATTAAAATTTTTTGCAGCATTGCTCATTGTGCTTGAATGTCCTACATAACTATTCTGATGACACAATAAAATTAACAAATGCTAGAATATTTTTAAGACCGTACAATTGATAAACAATAATAAACTAGAAGAAGAAAGCCATTTACGGTCGAAGCTGGATCACAGTGCTTATTATAATTGTGTGAATTTTATATACTGCGTAAGTAGTCCCCCCATAAATCGATAAATATGGCTTTCTTCTTCTAGTTTATTACAATAAAATTATTTCCAGAATTAGCTAATTAGATATTTCAGCGAAATCGTTCTTTCTGTATGATTATTAAGAAAAGTGATAAATTATATTTCTCTGATTCATATCTTAATTTTTAGTTTTCTTTTTCGACATTCTAACAATTTATCAAAGCACTTTTAAAAATGTAAAACTTTTCATGTACGTGAATGTTTCTTGTTGCTATACCCTGCAACATTAATCATATATACGGAAATATATAAGAGACTAAATATATTTTCACGAGGGAAGTCAACATTTTTCTTGCAGCAATACGAAAAATTTGTCTTATATAGTGATTGTTGTCACAATGGCTTTTTGCGCGCGCGGCCGACTGCCAAGAACTAAAAGTTTTATTCCCACCACATGACGCAAATCCCACGTATTCCCTGCTAGCAACGAAAAAGTGTCCCGCCCTCTCTGAGCACGGCTCTCTTCCTCATCACCATTTTTCGATGCCCGTCCGGTAGGGAACCGAAAAACAATCGTTCTCTTTCACTATAGAGAAGTATCTCCCAACTTTCTAACAGCGTCGCTTCAAGAAAAAGTCCCGCAGGGCGCAAAAGCGTGATGTCTGTTCATGAAAACTTCAAAGGGTATAGGAAAAACGAGTGCTTCTGTACAACTGAAGAATAAAAGCCAATCAAACGGACTTTCGTAGATGCCGTGTTGCGTTTTTAACTTAAACTGAACCATGCGCGAATATCGATTTGTCGGCACGTAACGAGAGCTTCGTAAATCGTATTTGGTATCGATCACTGGTTACTCTCAGCTTGAGAGAAGGCGTTTATTTTCTTTTGTTATTGTATGTCAATCATCGCCGTAACAAACAATGAGTTTCAATATTCCAGTATCGTTAAAGTTAAAATTTTATTGGCAATTGTAAATAAATAGAAAAAATAAAAAAGTAAAAATATTCTATATAAAGCAGAGCATTTGATTCGTAGATATACTATATATATTTTAACTCTTGAGAGAGATACACACGATGATTTTTTTATTCTTTAATATATACATGATGTTGTCTGACTATAGGTTAAGTTTCATTACTTTACAAATATACAAAAATTACAAGTGTTTCTTAATAATATTAATATAATATATACTTTATTTTATCTTTAAAAATATTTGTAAGGTGATATATTTATTTAAAAAAACGAAAACATAGAACTATTATTTAACCAGATACTCCTAATATTTCAAGAAAAAAGATGTATATATAGGATATGAATGATCCATTGTGTGTACTAAGGATTAATCCTTTGTATCATATACTGTCATAAATTTAATAAATTTTGTGTACTATAATAATGGATACGGACACAATTTATCGGTAGGGGACGTAATAAGCGCGTCAGCAAAGTAACTCTTGAAATTTCGTTTACTTGGCGATTCACATCTCAGCAGGATATAAAAATTGCATTTTACAGCCTCTATAAAATCGTCTTCTCTCACAATGACATGAAAATGTCTCTGTAATAGCCGATAGGAGAAAAAACTATTTTGAGTATTACGGGAAATTCGCGCGTCTCGTAGGAACATTGTTTCGCAATCAAATATTTTATTTATTCAAAGAGAAAGAGAAGGAAAAATTAATTCGAACTTCAATAATGGAAAATAGACTTTTGTTCTGTTGTATAAAGCAATTTATATATTTTAATAAAAAAAAACCGCTAAAATGCGAATGGATTTAGAAAATGTGAAAAAAATGAAAAATAAATTCTTACTTTATAAAAAGGGCAAACGTAATCTATTTTTAAATGCTATTAATATAAAAATATTTATCACACTTAAAAGGAAATCTTGATAGGAGAAGGAACATTTATAGATGCTTTAAGAATTGATTTTTAAATTGTTAATACAACTTCTCAAAATATACATTAATTTTGTCTCACGCGAATAATTTATTTATAATTTACAATTAATAACAGATAAATGTAAAATAATCTTTTTATAATAATTATAGAGAAACACGATGACAGCAACAAATAAAATTTCTTCTAATAATGTTATAAACTTTTATTTTTGACGGATTAATGGGCGATTTTTTTCAAATCACTCCATTAATTAACCGTACGGTTTTATTAAAAACTACAAATCGTGCAAGGAACATTTGCTCGATGAATTACAATCAGTTGCGCGTTATAATAGATGTTATTTGCTATAGGCTGAAATTGTGCGAATATTTGTGCCGGCCATTTATACGTGGGGACCAAAAGCGACCAAATCTCGCCGTATTTGAGCCAATTCAAAATTGAAAGTGCAGGCGCACGTAGCAGCCTCTGCGAGAGGCGCGTGTATATACATTTCACAATAGCGGATGCATTTATCACGAGCAGAAAACTGCGCTCTTGGTCGTGCTCGAAACTCCATAAATTCCCCGCCGTTAGTGGAAAATGGAGGAGGGGAAAGCATCCAAGATAGAGTAGGAGGAGGAGGAACGAGGGAGAATCGACACGTCGGAAATCTATTTCTGGGGAAAGAAGAGCCGAGCAAACTGTTACGCGATTAAATCGCGAACTGCCAGTAGTAGAGATCCTCGAAATTCACAATCGTTTGCTTTCAAAAACGGCCGAATTTCGTCGACAAAGATGTCTTCGTCATAGTCCGTCTTCTTTTCCTGGCTTTCCCTAGGAAAAAAGCGCGTTAACGAGGGACTGATCTCTCCTCGAAGAAGTAAAAAGGTTTACGTAGCTTTAAAGTTTATGACCAGTCACACTGATAAAAAGTGAGCGGTGAGTTTTTTCTGAAACTGTGTTTGTGACAGTTCAAAGGGGTCTTAATATATTCAGAATCTATAATGCTTGTTATTTTTTAATAAAATAAAATAAATATGCATAAAGGGAAGTAAAATATACCTCTCTAGGTGCTTGAATTACAACGAAATTTATCCAACAATTAAGAAAAATATATACAATTGAGAGAGAGAGAGATAAATATTTTAATACTCTGTAATAAATATTCTATTATTCTAAAAATAATCGATATTATTTCTTTTTGATTATATTATTTGCATTTGTAATAATTTTATGATTTATTCTTCAGATATACACGATGCAATAACCGCGGAATGTATATACAATATTTAGCAGGGAATCAAGTTCTAATAAGTCATAAATCTCTGAATATTACTCGTAAATTTTCGCTGTTCTGTATTCCTTACATACTTTTTTTGTTTTCCATTAGAAGATCTGACGCGAAGTTCAAAAATAAAACTAGATTTCCTTGTAAAGTGAAGTGCACCCACTATTTACGATGCCATACCGTCGTCCATTATCCAGAGCTCCTACTGCGTTCCATTAGTCCCATGTAACTAACTTCTTCAGCTTCCAAGGATTTCACGCTGAACCGTGCTTATAGGATCAAAAGATTAGGTCCACGCGTTACGCCCGATATATATGAAGTGTGCGACGGGGGCAACTTTAAACTTATCCGCAAATCCGGGAGAAATTTCGTTGTAGCGTCATCGATTTTCGAGTGCTAAAACGATATAGTTGTTTGAACGATAAAAATAGGCGAGAAAAATGAAATAATAGGGAAAAAATTGAAAAATAAATCGATGAGAAAAAAAAGGAAAATAGACTTTACATAGTCAGGATGACCGAGTATAGTAGTGTGCATTCTGCGCATTACTTCTTCCATAATTTAAAAAATTTCTCTGTCCTAATATTGAAATATGCCAAAAGTATGCGGCTTACAAGATTACGTAAAAAAAAAGAAG